TGTGTGGGTGTGTGTGTGTTTGGCCGTGTCCGTGTATTAACAAGTGTCTGAGAGAGTTTCTGAATATAAGATGGACTGACAGGGTCGCCAACGAGGAAGTGTTAAGGAAAACAAGACATATCCCAGTAAGAGATGAGGTAGGAAGAAGGCGGTGGCGATGGATTGGACATACTCTCAGGAGGTCAGGCAGAGGCATTACGAAGAAAGTGTTAGATTTGAATCCATGGGGTAAACGATCAAGGGAAAGATAGCATGGAACCTGGAGAAGAATCACAGAAATTGATATACAGCAAAGTGGAAAGACATGGAATTACATCAAGAGGCTAGCCCGGGAGAGAGAAAGGTGGAAAATGTTTGTCCGTGGCCATTACCCTGGTGCAGGGTGAGAAAGGCAATTACGATGATTACCATGTGTCTGTGTATCTGTATGTGTGCGCGCACGTGTGTGTGTATGTGTGTGTCTGTGTGTGTGTCTGCGTGTGTGTCTGTGTGTGTCTGTGTCCGTGTGTGTGTGTGTATGTGTGTGTGTCTGTGTCCGTGTGCGTGTGTGTGTCTGTGTGCGTATGTGTGTGTACGTGTGAGTGTGTGTGGATGCAGACATTGTGTATGTGTGGGTTGGTGGGTCTCACTTTCTCTTTGTTGTCGTTTCTATACCCTCACTGCTTCTGACAAATCGCCACCCATTTATTCCATTAGTCATGCAAGTTTTTACTTGTTCTCAGAAGTCAAGTATTCGCTCTGCCAGTCATGCACGTTCTTTTTGTGTGCCACTCGGGGGCTCACATTGCGAACATATCAATTTTAAACAGGCGAGTTCGAAAAAGCTTAGAAGTTTCAAACTTAAAGAAAAGATCTCAGTCACACACCAATGCTTCACTGGCAAATAACAAATAAGTTCACACTTCAGGCCACCCAGTGCCCTGCAAAAAGTAACCATACGTAATTCATGTAGTCCTTCTGTTAATGGCTGTAATTCTGCGACTTTGTCTTTAGAAACCAAAATGTGTCGTTGTCTCCCTTGTCAAACTATCCCATCGTCCCCTCCGGAGTGGACAGTGTCTTTTCGACTCGCCAAAACGGCATGAAGACTGCACAAACAACGTTCTTTTCCGCATGCCAATGAAACGTCTTTCGTTGATTCAGGGACTTACCAGGTGGTGACAGCAGTAGTATGTAATGTAATCATAAAGTCTGGGCAAATAAATAGGATATTTCATTAAAAACAATGACTGATGGCAGCGTGGAGTTATTTGCATCGGAGGAAAGTAAATCCTGTAGGGAGCTTGGACATGAGAAGCACAATTAGTGAAAACCAAAGTGAAGATAGATTTGTTTGCATTCCAGTTGAATAAAGTGTTGGATAAAAGTCTGCCTGAGCTGCCAGTTGGGGCTTTGCTCGACCTACTGTGCACATCCGACGTCTCCATTCTCTGTGGGGCCATATGTTGATTGCCATGACGTCGTGCATGTATGACGCTTTTAACTCCTTTCAAGAGAGAGAGAGAGAGAGAGAGAGAGAGAGAGAGAGAGAGAGAGAGAGGGGGGAGGGAGGGAGAAAGAGAGAGAGAGGAAGGGAGGGAGGGGGAGAGGAGGAGAGGGGGGATCTCAAGTATACAGTTACCCACTATTGTTGAACAGTTAATGTGTATGTCTTGATAACGCGTCCTGCCTTTTGTCCAGACTTTAGGTACACCCTGTAGTACGGGGTTTTTTCTCGTTCTTAGGTTGCAACGAGTTGTTCTTATTATGATTTTCTTCTGTTATCTTGATTTGTTCTGTTGGCATGTGGTTATTGTTTCGAGGCAAAGGAGCTTTGGGATAAAAGTATTTATGTCTGCCGATACGACAATAATTCTCAGAGTATTGACTCCCAAAAAAGTCAAATTACAGTTTTCCTGTTAACGGTTTGAAGTTTTTCTTCGTTATAAAAAACATTCTTTCTGGCTTAAGGGCTTCACTTGAGAGCAGTATACCGAAGCAAATTTAGCTCCTAAAAGCAACAGTCGTAGAAGAATAGCCATTAACAGACCAGCAATATAGTTACTGAATTTCTCTTTAACAACGTATGGTATACTAGTGGTACACCTTGTAGTTACGTGCATTCTTGGATTGGGGGTTTACTAGGTGTCCCCTTTCTGCTTTTAAATATGATTTATTTAAACTGATTCTGGCGTTTGATTCTTTCAAGACAATAATTTTCCCCGTCGACTGTAATAACCATAATCTGTTTAGTATAAACACAACTTGGTATGCATTAATATTTCCTCAGACGGCGGTGTCAGGGATTGTTTGAAAGTTATCTTGAAAAGAAAAACATTCAAAATCGCCAAACATCCTGTCTGCCACGGAGAAGACTGGTCCCTTCATCAGCTGCAAAAGGCTACTTATAGTCACTATCACTGCCGCCATCACAACAGCAAACACTCTTATTGAATAGTCATGGAGACGAAAAAGACGGATTTTGTCCCAAACGCCTTTTTAGCTGACAGATGGGGGAGTGATCTTACTTCTTGTACAAGTAGTAAAGCGGAAGAGGATAGTGAATCAAAGAAGGCAAATGTCGGTAGAATAGCGAATGAATTCGCAGAAAACACGTCCATGCACGGGATGGCGAATGCTGTCAACATTCACAAACGATTCAACGGGCTCCTCTGGAAGAACGTATTTTGGTTTTTACTCATTCTCTGCGGGATAGTGATGTCGATCATGAACCTGGTCAAAATCGCTGAGGATTTCAGGTCATCTCCAGTGACGACGGAGGTAAAGATGGAATACCAACCCAAGATCGAATTCCCGTCTGTGACAATTTGCAATATGAACAAGTGGAGAAATTCACAATTCGCGACGTTCAACTTGTCCATCTTCGTACCACCCCCGGTAAGAATAACTGAACAATGTGTTTATTTACATGTACATGTATTCATTTATTTCTATTTATTTGCCAATGTATTGTACCTACAAGGAGAACCTCTTACATATCCTGTGTCTGATTGTCTTGTCAATGGAAATAAGCATTTTTTCTTTATTGTACTTGTCGAAGTTCAACACCTCTATAGACACAATTTAGACTTTCAAGGTAGCACACTGCCTCTTCCCTGCCTGTTAGAGTCCGCCATAGCCGAGAGATGTAGTATCTACAGCGCACGTCGCAGCAGACAAACGGAGATACTCGATTAAAAAAACAAACAACATTAAACTTGTCATCATTCGATGTTTTATGTGTCGGACAAAGAAAAGCCCAAAAACTGCACCACTAGCGTCTATGTGGTACTTACCAACGTCTCCAAAACAATGTCTTGATATGACAAGAAGGAGATTTGCCCATGCCATGACCTCCTCGAGCAGAGGAAAATAACGTTAAAACATAAACTTGAATATCCTATACTGTGCACTGTCGTGACCCCCGTTCTAATCTCTCTCTCTCTCTCTCTCTCTCTCTCTCTCTCTCTCTCTCTCTCTCTCTCTCTCTCTCTCTCTCTCTCTCTCTCTCTCTCTCTCTCTCTCCAAAAAGAAACAACTTCGCTACGAAGCGTTCGCGCCATGAGCGCCCAATTGAGGAGTATATAAAATACCACTCTCTCTGTAGTCGACTCTTCTGGAAAATGAAGGTAAAAGTAAAGATGCTTGACTTTACTTTGTCCTTCCTCTTGTGTTTTATATGTCGAGCTGAGGTGTAGTTTTTTGGTAAAGGGCTGGGTGGGTGGCTTTTGTTGTTGAATAATATGTTATTCTTTTGGAGGACCTCTTTAAAACCACCCTACCAAGTTTTGCGTGGTCTGCCCTTGCCCTTGTCTTTTGAGTTGCATGCTCGTGCTGCTGGCTGATTTTGCGAAATTCTAATCTCATCAGGTGGCTGAACGTCTTGATTCTTTGGTGATCTTATGCAAACTGTCCTAGTAACGTTAATAAATTTCCAGAAAAAAAACAGTAGAGTTGTTGCAAGAAAAGGGTCGATGTTCTGCACCCCGTTGCGTCTTCTTAAGTCTCTTCAGATAATGTTTTCTGTTTTTGCTGTGACGCTATTTCCTTCTTTTTCGTCATTTTTTTTTTAGATCTGTCCTTTAATTCCTTCAGTGTCACATGTTTATAGTTCATAGCCCAACGTTGTAAAGACAGGTACCGCTGAATCGGGGTTTAGCACAAATAGAGTTAATTGTAAGGTGTTCCAACCACTCCCCCCTTGATGCACCGTTTGCTCAGTTCGTATAATGTTTGGCTATGGTGCCGATTGCTATGTTTCGAAACCCCAATATCTTGTTCTTTTGCTTACTTGAGATGTTTCACGAGTTGTTCCTTGCCGATATAGTTTCTGTCCTATCAGAGACGGACACTATTAAATTTGGAGGTCCTAGCGACTTAGCTTAGTCCTGTCGGAGATGGAGACTAGTTTCGGAGATTTCCATCTCCTCTTATATGTAACAGAAAAGTGTCGAAAAGGCGTTAAATCCATACTATTACCAAGTTTATTACTTATTCAGGCCAACGCCACTAAAGATGAAAAGGAGCTGTACTATCTGCTGAGCGCTATGAGAGTACCCGACAGTCAGAAGATCCAGTGGGGTCACCAACTATCGGACATGCTTCTCGAATGTACATTTGATGCGGTGAGTATACACTTTATTGTTGTGTTGATGGTGGTTTTGTTTTATATTCTAGTAAGAGAATCACGGCACTTGCTAAACAATTAGGTCATATAAGTACCGAAAATTAGAGGTGTTACAAAATAGTAACAAACATAAAGACAGAAGGAGAGAAAAGGACAATAGATGTTTCATAGGAAAGACGTTTTGTTGTTGCTTGTGTTCTTATCTAGTAGTAGTAGTAGTAGTAGTAGTAGTAGTAGTAGTAGTAGTAGTAGTAGTA